AGATAATAAAAATATCTAAATTTAATCAATTCCAATACCATGGCTTGATCATCTGCTTCACTATGGAATATCCCTCGATATCTCCACAACAAAATCAACCACATGGCTGCCAACCAAATGAAATTCTAAGCATTTTTAATTTTTTCTTTGTTAAATAAAAAAAATTTTATATTAGATAAATAATAAAGAAATTTGTGAATTAAATATGAAAAATACTACTTCACTTATTGTCAATTAATTTTAAGTTGAATACAAAATTTGTGTTAAAACTCACTGTTTACATACAAAATAAATTAAACATAAGTAAACACCTACATTCTAAATTTTCATATGATATCAAAATCCAAACCCTATTCATGGGAAGCTCGAGATCCTATGACAATTTGAGCCTGCATGGGAGATGGAATATCATACCCGTTTGTTAGCTTGAAATTATGGTGATAGATTGTACCTATAAAAGAGCCAAAAATTTTGTTTTCAACGGAAACAGCACTGGAAAGGACCAATTTTGGCATCACAATTGCGGGGTTTTTGTAGTGGATTATTTCTTCCAGATTTTCCTCCATTGTATGTCTTTTTTCCATACCCTTATTTCTTTCTAACAGTACTTAATATGAGTTGTTCCCCTCTTATGTTACTATTGCCATTGTTATTACCAAGGTGATCATGGGGAGTTTTGGAATTCTATGACCTCTTACGTTAATTTCTTACTATTCATATTCCTTATTTTATTCACCGATAACGTTTTCTTGTTTTTACTAATCATTTAATGATCATAACTTTTGAATTTGTTCATTCTATATATATGCATTGACATTCGGTTTGTTTTTGTTGTAGCATTGGTACAAAGATGATATGTATAACTTCAGAAAGGATGATGAAGGAAACCCTTCTTTTGTTTTAATTAATAAAGTCACTGGCCAAGCCATGAAACATTCTGTTGGATCTCACCAACCAGTAAGAATTAATCCTCTACTACTTCGCAATTTTCTCATTAATTTAGCTCATGATAAGTTAGTCTTATAATTAGTTTAAGCTGCAATGATGTTTCCTTTTTCACATTTGCTTCATCAATATTTTTGGAAACAAAAAACGTTAATCGCCTTTGTTGACTAAAAATTATATTCATCCTTGAAAATTAAAACTGAAAAAAGGATGGATTTTTTCGCTTAATTCCTCCTATACCACACCTTTCAAGAAGTAAAATGTAAACAAAAATAAATATTGTGAATTTCTTTATCTGAAAATTAATTTTTTTTCTCTAATAAGTGATTTTTTGTTTGCAGGTGCAATTGGTTCATTATAGTCCAGTCGCTGTTGATGAATCAATTTTATGGACAGAGAGCAAAGATTTAGGTGATGGTTACAAAACTATCAAAAAGTTTACAGATTCCCGTCTGATTGTGAATGCCTCTGTTGGTATTACTATTGATGGAGCTAGTATCATACTCCAGCCATGGGCTAATGGGGCAGATAATCAACAATGGAAAATGGAATCAGTTCGTAAGCGTAAGACATTCCTACTTAATTTTCAAAAGATTAGAAATTTATATATGCAAACATATAAATTAATGAATCTGTAATTAAAATGAGATTGCAATCAGCAGAGGAAGAGATTACATTAATTCTTATATGCTACATAATCAATTTGCAACAGCATTTGTGCCCACTGCGCCTACTGTTAAGCTTTACTGCAAGGCTGGACCTAATTTATCTGTCACCATTAGAGATAGCAAGGTTGTCCTTGCGCCTTCTAATCCAGCTGATGAGTTCCAGGTATTGAGCCATAATAAATTAATTTTTCCAATACACAATTACTTGTTAAATTTTTCATTTTATTGAGGTAATTATTTCTCGCCTGTAGACTACTGTACTCTAAAATAATTTGGTTTGGAAACCTTATTCAATTTATATTTCTGTGGTGCCCATTTCTTTTATTGTTGGAATTCCATTTCTTTATGTGAATTATATTATTGCATTAAGGATTGCTTTATTTTTTAACAGATTGAAATGATATACATATTAATTGGGAGAAGGAAAAAGAAGTTTCATAAAACTTGAATACGCGATCCATAAAAAATTAATAACCCTAACCCATAGTTCATTTCACTGGGTCAAAGCGGGGCTGTTCGTATTAAGGGTTGCTTGATAATTTGTTTTTGTTACAATGATATTAACATGTCTTTTTAATAAATAATTATTCTTAGTATAAACTAAAATAAAAATTAATTCTTAATACTAGTTTGGTAATTATTGTAGCACTGGTACAAATATGACAAGTCCATCAGCAAGTACAACGAGGACGATGAGGGTTCTCCTTTTGCTTTGGTTAATAAAAAAACCGGCCAAGCTATCAGGCACGCTGCTGAATCTCATAAATCTGTAAGATTCCTCTTAATATTAGTTTTAGCAATTTTGACAAAATCTTTATTTGTTTTGCAGTCAACATATATAATAATCTTGATATGAAGTTTGCTTTCTTAGTTTCTTATGCATGAAAAAGATGATATATATGTTCTCACTCTTCATCATTTAATACTTTTCAAGATTGTTCCGCAGCTTTAAATTAAAGGATTTGTTATTTACCTTTTTAAATGAAAATACCTCTAGGTTTGATATTCAAATTCTCGAAATAACTTTCCCTCTCTATATAAATGGTAGGATTATTTGTAAAATTGTTAGGATTCTTTTCTAAAATTGTTAAAAAAACGTACTTGTCAAGATCAAATCACATCACCACCAGCATAATCGACAAAGCCTGCACACACGACCGTCCCCAACTTGGCACAAGACCTCACAAACGATGCACCATCGTTCTACTCCGTACCAACCACCACTAATAAAGATGAGAGCAAGAAGAAGGCCGCGTCCGATAAACCTCTTGAATAGTTTAAAAGTATTGACTATAGAAGTCAACATCTGAAACAAGTTCTGAACTTTAGAATTGCTCTTGGAATATTTGGTCCTTGAAAAACATGATTAGGACAATCCAAGAGACATGCATCTGATCAAGATCATGTCCGATCGTATGGTATTGATTAAAGCATGAATGAATACTGGTAGTTGGACTTGATGATCAAACATCATTAAATGGTGGCTATCCAATGAACGTGACCAATCGGTTCATTAAACCAAAGTAAGAAGAGAACTTGCCACCTAAATAACAAGAAGTGCCAAACCGAAGAGGTATGTCAAAAAGTATATGCCTATTTGATTTCTATACAAACGATGTTCCAAACTTTTTTTATGATGTTATTCCTTCACGTCTGCAATTAAGAAAGTTTAGTTTTAATTTTGTTATATCATATGGGCTTTTTAAAGTTATAAAAATAATGATATCACACCTCAATTTTTTTTTTTTTTTGAAAAGCAAAAAGAAGTTTATTATGTGAGTACAAGAGGTACACAAACCCATTAACATCAATATACAAAGTTACAACCAGGAAGTGGGTCAAACAACAAAATCACAAGGTATTCCCAAAACAAGAAACCTGGAATTCAACTCCCTATCTACACTCTACTTCCTATTTGTCAAGCAACTCACTGGGTTGGTAATCCATTCTATGAAAGAAAAATTTTCTACTTTCAACAGAGTTCTAACCCAATGAAATGAGCGGGTTTGTACAGGTTCAAATAGCTTGTCCTCATTTACCTTCTTGTGTTGAAAGGCTGTTTCATTTCTACTCAACCACAATGACCATACTATTGTGAACCATAACATATTCCAGCCTTTTTTCATAATTTTTGAGCCCTTATGCCAACTGTGCTGGTTGAAAACATCAAGACAAGTATTCCCAAGAACACAACATAATCCCCACCAATTTAGACATTTAGACCATAATTTGAATGAGATATTGCATGACACAAAAAAGATGATCTATATGTTCAGGGAACTAATCACACCAAAAACATTTTATACCTTGGTTGACATCCATAATGCCCCGCTTTGCCAAGTTGACCTTTGTGGGAATTTTGTCTAGAAGCATTTGCCATGAAAAAGCACTCACTTTTGAAGGGACTTGCGCACTCCATATATTTCTATACTCCATTAGTGTACTTTCCTCTTTCTTTGCCAACTGCTCGTAAGCTAACCTTGTGGTGTATTTTCCTTCATTGTCAGGCCTCCATCTCCAAGTGTCTTTCACATTCTGCACTGGTTTTATGTGATTTATGGTCCCAATCAATTGTTGTAGTTTTTCCTCCTCCCATGCTCTAATTGATCTTCTCCATTGGAATCTCCAGTACCAGCATCCATCAGACCAATGACCTCGATCATAGATGCTACAGTTTTTGTCTGTGTCCAACAAAAACAGTCTCCGAAAAACATTAGCTAAAGAATCCTCACCCACCCATACATCTAACCAGAACCTGACACTCTTCCCATCCCCTAATTTTAAATTGAAATTTGAGAGCAACAACCCATCCTTATTACCTAATCCTGTATTCAATTTGCAAATATCATTCCATCATGGTGATCCTATTCCCCTACCCTCTTTCATCCATGATAACCAATTTCCTCCCTTGCCACCATATTTTTCTAACAGCACCCTAGACCACAAACCCTTATCTCCCCCTATTAATCTCCCCCACCATTTCCCCCACCATTTCCCGAGCAATGCCATATTAAACCACACACCTCAATTTTTTTTTTTTCCTTCAGTTATTTTTCTTCTATTCGAAGTCTTAAGGATAGTGATATCCTGGGGGCTTTCATATCCTTTTTACATCGTTGTACAACTTCCTTAAATGAGTGATTTTTTTTTTTTTTTTTTTTTGTTTTCAAATGAACGATTACTGCACAAAACTTTAAAGTGATCAGTGAAATTTATTTTTTGAATTGTTAATAAATAATTTTTTTCTCATAAATTTTAAATTTTATTGAAGGAAAATTTTACTTTTTAGTATTGTTTGGGGAAAGAAAGGTGTTTTTTAATATGGATTGCACATTTTTTGTGTAGTCTTGGTACTAAAATGATAAAAATATCATTAATAAATAAGCTTAGAAGGCAATTTCATTAAGAGTATTTAGGTAACATCAATACTTGAACTAAAAAAAAAAATGTGCAGTCCGTGCTAAAAAATACTTTTTCTTTGTTTGGAACTTAATTTTTAAAAAGAACTTGTTTTATAATTTAGATTGTATCAAATTGTAAATAAAAACTATTGAATTGGATTGAGAGCTTTTGACATCAAAAAGCCTACCCCTATATAATGGTTAGTGTAGTATCATTCAATATAATTCAAATTACACTACACATTTTCAATCTCTAAATTATAACTTTTTTGACACTTGCTTATAAGTTTTTTAAATGTTAAAAAGGAAACTTCTCCTCCAACTGAATTTAAAAATTTTTTGAAAAAAAGTTTCTGATAAATAACTCAAAAAATAAGCTTTACCAAACACTTCCTGAATAATTGAATGATCTTAGTTTGTATAACTTGTGCCGTTGGATTTGAAATCTCTATATAGTTACTTGTTAATCGTAATTAAAATCTCCATAGTCATTTAGAATAAGTTCTGGGCGTACCAACATCCTCTCACCAACTTCGTCCAAACACACGTGACCAAAAAGTGTCTACCATAAAAGTTTCCCATAAGCAGTCATGCCAAGGCTTGCTTGATGACTATTACGTCGCAAGCAAACACAATTATTGGCAATTAAGTATCCTAAATAATTCGAAGTCCATATGACAAGCTTTTAACTCATATATCTCTAACTGCAACTTATATTTGTTAAACCCAGCAAAAAAAATCCAAGGTACAAAGTTCCTGCATCTATTTGAGCCTATTTGGCCTAACTGTAACAATAAATAGAATGAAAAATCACTAAGAGACAACCTTGTTTATAATTTTTTTTATATAACTCTACATATCATATTATGATTGGCTTTTTTCACTCTAATAAAAGTCATGATATATATATATATTTACTTATTTAATAGCATGTAAAAGTTATATTAAAAATTATATACAAAAATTATTTCTATATCATTACCATAGTTAGAATAGAACTTTAGCAAAAATTTAAGGATGATTATGACTCTATTAGAATAGAACTTTAGCAAAATGTTTACTGGCGTGAAACTTTAGCTTCTAACCCTTTCAAAGTTGAAATAACCTTTGAAAAGTCATAAGCATTTTCAAAAAACTGCATTTAGACAAGCTTCAAGAGATCTTTTCAAAAGTTAGCCAAAAAAGCACTCAACACCAAAAATTGTATTACTAAAGGTTTTCATTTTTCCGCAGGTGCAATTAATTCCTTATAATCCAAATGTTCTTAATGAGTTTGTACTCTGGACTCAAGGCGAGGACTTGGGCGATGGCTACAAACCTATTAGAGAGGCTACTAACACTCATCTGAATTTTAATGCTTGTGGAGGTTATGTCGATGATGGTACTAGCATTATAGTATTCCCATGGGCTAATTGCTTAGCCAATGAATTGTGGAGGATTGAACCATATAGTAAGTTTCTCAGAAAACGTCAAAAAGTTTACTCAAACATACCTTTACCTTTTTGGCCAAGAAAAGAAGTTTCTTAAGAGGAAAAATTGAAGACAATGAAATTCTTATTTTCTATATGAATGTACAGCTACTGTTAAAGTTTATTGCAAGGCTCAGGCTCGCTGCAATATCACTGTAGTAAATGGCAAGGTGGGTTACGTTGAATCCAATCCGTCTGATAAGTTTCAGGTATTTTGTTGTTTTTGACTCTTTTTATTAGGCATGTCTATTGGATTTGTTATTTCATTCTATAAGAGTTTACATTGGGCTTCATTCTCATTGTAGCATTGGTACAAAGATGAGAGATACAGGACCACAAAGGATGCCGAGGGCTACCCTGCCTTTGCTTTAATTAATAAAGCCACTGGTCATGCATTGAAGCATTCTACTGGATCTAACAAACCTGTAAGAACTCTATATTCTCGATTATGATTTTGGTGTAAACCTGATTAAGCACATCATCATTTAGTTATATATACTAGCTACTTGTTCTAATGATATATATATATATATATATATATATATGTCAATAACCTTAATAACTCAGTGGTTATCTCTTTTCGTTGAAAATAAAAAGTCATAAATTCGAGTCGCATAGTATATGAGTGAGGTGAGATAAGGATGAATGATGGTTGCTTTCTATTGTGTAACTAAGATAAAAAAAAAATGTTATATATATAAGTAGAGATCCACTTACATATAAGTTTTATATGCTACATTTACACAAAATTTTGATTATTTATCTTTTTATTTTTAATGGTTGAGATTTATTTATTTTTATTATATTTATTAAAAATAATTATTTTTTAACTAAAAAGGTACAATGAATCTTAATTATAGAAAATGAAAAGATAGATGATCAAAATTTTATATAATTGTAATATATAAAATTTTTGAATAAATGAATCTCTATATTATATTTTTTTACCAAAAAAGTTGTAATAAATTTCAATAATTGAAATTGAAAAAATAAATTGTTGAAATTTGGTATAATTATAGTGTATAAAACTTATGTGTAAATAAATCTCTCCTCATACATACATATATATATATAGTTCAAATTTCATATTTTTTCCATCAATTAAAAATGATTTCATTGTAATTGTTTACCATGCTAGCGGGATTGGAAAAGTACACATATTCGTTGTCGAATTAATTCCTAATGATTTTTAACAAGCGTTTTGCATTATACTCGTCCATCAATATTTCTTCTTAATTAAGAAAGTAAAAAATAAATAATGATAATGCGAATTTATCAGTTGCAAAATTAATTTAAATTTAATGAATTGTTTACATATAGGAAAAAAAAAAATTAAGATGTCTCCCTTTAAAAACATCAATGTATTTAATAATAATCACATAATAAATTCAATAAAATTAGGACTTACTTTATATCTAATATAATTAATAACTGTAATTAGATTTCCTAACATTTTCAATATTAAAACGTTCTGATTTTTCTTTTTCTCTTGTATTTATGTTTCAATGTTTGTAGCTGCAATTGGTTTGTTACAAGCCAACGGCTGTTGACGAGTCTATATTATGGACAGAGGGAGAGGACTTGGGCGATGGGTACAAAGCTATCCGAATGGCTAATAATATCCATTTAAATATCCATCTAAATCAGAAATTTGTTTCTAAAGGTGAGGTCACTGCCGTTAGCACCGATCCTGATGATCCTGTCATACTCTCTCCATGGAATAATGGTGCAGATAATGAGATGTGGAAGATGAAAACACATTCTGTAAGTTCCTCGAAAAATAAAGTACTAGGCATTGACATTCCTATTACAGTTTCCTAGCTAGCTACTATACATATATGAAGTTCAAGAAAGTTAGCCTATTACCCGTATAGTATGTTTGGGTCAAGGAAAATGAAGAGAAAGAGAGGGGAGAGAAATTATTAAAACACTATAATTTAATGAGTTAAAAAATTTTCTTCTCTCCTTTTCTCCTCTTCCCATCCCTCCCCTTTATCACCCTTAACCCAAACATACAGTTAAACTTAAGTAATAAATGCAGAAAATGGTCTTTGCAGCTTGAAGAGAGATTTTTATATTCTTATTTTCTGTGTATTAAACAACTCAAAAATCAATATTTTCCTTAACCATTCTCCCTTTAATATATTTTCTTCGGTGTTTGACAGGAGTACGAGACACCGACAATCAGTTGCTCCCTGCTTTAGAACCTTTTTTTTACGCTGACTTTGGGAAATAAAAAACCTGAAAGAATCACAAGCTGTTTTCTTCCTGAGATGTTTGCGTTACTTTGCTCCTTTCGGTGTGAAATGTTATGAGATGCGTGCGTGTTGCATCGAGGACTGTTGCTCTAGCTAGCTAAGGTTGCTCTCATTTTATTTGTCGTTTTTCTATGTTTGAATGTTTCCTGACGCTTTTATGTTTAAATTATTATATATCCATTATCATTATCTTCAAATACTCTTACATCCTTTTCCTGGAAAAGTGTTTTTCGCATATTTTCATACATTTATCCATTATCATTGTCTTCAAATACTCTTATATCCGGCACTTGCGGCGCGATAGAAGTGCGTCCTTGACTTCTTTGTTAAGGGTTCAAGCTACCAGTGTAGCAATATTGTAACTATTCTCCCATTCCTCAAATTTTTTACTGGTAAAAAAAAAAATCAATTTCAATTATTAAACAATTAGAGGAACCAAACTTAATTGAAAAAGAAAATTTTGAAGTTTATTTTTTTTCAACATCTCTTCAGTTTTAATTAACCTAATTTTTTTATTCAATAAAATAAGAATGTTACAATTTAGTGATAAAATTTTTTATTTATTCTTGTTTACATAGGTTATAATTATTTTTTAAAAATAAAAATAAAATAAGAATTAGAGCTTTATACAATGCATATACT